GTGTGTTTGTGTTGAGCATGTTTAATAACAGGCTGTAAGCGCACGAGGCAAGGTTCAGACTCAGAATAACGTTACAGGAATGTAGCATCTGTCTGACACCCTTGCTTGGATAAGGATCAAATGAGGAAAGTATGTCAGAATTTCTCTCGCTCGGCATCTCTGTTTCATAGAGCTAAAGCACCCAGTAGCAACGTGTGCTTTTCCATAGATACAGAGGTTATATAGATTTTCTGTGGAGGGCTACAGGTGTAAGCATGTTCCTTCTGAACCACTTTAACAAACGAGTTTTAAATTCTCTAGGCTATAATAAATTAAAAAAAAAAAAAAGGCAGTGATTAGTTACGTGCTAGCTGCGATACCGTGAAGTTACCAGGGGCAGGCTAGAATGAGTATTTGGGACAGAGTTGCCTTAGGGTGCGCAGCTTTTGTAACAGTTCCTGACGTAGCCTTGCCTCTTTTACCCGTAAGGACAGCTTCGCTTCCTTCTCTAAAACCATGGCCAGATCCTGGCTGTGCTGCTAGCTGGGACCTGGCCTTCCAGCACCGGCAGCCTGTCAGTTGATGTCTGTTTGTACTTGTGGTGATAGCTGGTGATGGCAACTTGCTGTTGATGGCGACTCTTTGTTCAGCTCAGTCCCCAGAGGAGATCCCCAGCGGAGCACAGACATCTGCTTGGAGGGACTCAAGCAGTTGCCTCAGTTCTCATACACCATGTCAGGAACGCGTACTGGGTTTCGGGGAGAGCGTTGGGCCTTTCACTTGATGGAAATGTGCCCCTACCGACTCTAACATGGGAATTCACCACCACCGTAGGCCCATGTGAGTCCCTTTCCGACATGCTTGGGGTAATTCTGACTGTGCTTTCCTCTAGGAGGACTTTCGGAATAAAGTTGAAGATTACATTAAGCGCTATGCGAGATGATGAAGGGAGATGGATGGCAGGACCATGGCTTCCACACTAGCGTTGTCCTTAACTTCAACAACAACAACAACAAAACCAGCCCGGATTGTACTAGTCCTGTGTCCATGTTGTACCGAAGAAGAAAACTAACTTCATAACTTGTCCATGTTAAAAGGAGAGTTCAGCATAAATACAGCAAGAAATTGTGTATGTTGGTTGAAAAAGTTGTTTGCTTACTTTTAAAAATGTTTACTCTTCTGAACTGTACTGTATATCCTGTTGATGAGATATGCTTGAGAAGTTAAAAGAAATCACTATTGAAATTGTAATTACACTTTTTTTTTTTTAACTCTTGCCTGGCTTGGAGGGGTAAGGAAAACCAGAAAAGGTGGTGTGTTTTTGGAACACTAAGTTGGCAATAAAATGGTCTCCTGTGAACCAAATCACAATATTCTTGCCTTTGATAAGCAGAAACAATACGAGCTTTTTCCAAGAGTCATTCAGCTAAGGCTTAGAGCTTGCCAGAATGCAAGTGCTAAATGAAATTCTACTTCTGGTATTGAAATTCGTGATGATATTTAATGTAAGTATGTTTTTGTCACATGTTTGGAATTTTTACATTGCTGTTTTCAGCTCCTGTTTGGGCTACAGTATTACTTTTTTGTTTCTATTCATTGTGTGAAGTAGTTAAATACAGGCTAATCCGTAATTTACGTAAACGTGTAATATTAGTAAAATTATATATATAAAAATATATATTTCTGTAAAAATTTAATGAAAGGGAGATTTTTATTAAGAAATTTGCCTTTGGCTTTCTGATCTGGATGTGGTGAGGGAGCATCAGATGCAGTTTGATCTGCTGAAAGTAAATTCAAGCACCGTTACCTGGAGAACACCTAATTGTATTCTTCAAACTCCTGCACTGAACGAGAACAGTAACGCGCTGCACCCTCTTCTAAATGCTCAGTGCATGCATGGCTTTTTTTGGTAATTTGAAAGGACATGATGCTGTAATTGCCTTTTCTGTAAGCAGCTGTGTATCAAACACATAGTATGTGCAAGCAGAGGTCCTTCAGAGGAGAGTAGCATGTACCTCAGGAATCACTTCGGAGTGAACGCCGTGTTGCTGCCTGTCGTGTGCCAGAGCTCCCCGCTGCTCACCCGCTGACCCGTGCAATGCCTGGGGTGGCTGAGTTGGGGTGTTGGCGTAGCCACAGAGACCAAAACGCGTTTCACTTGTGGGATCATGCAGAGGAGCTGTCATGGAACCGATTCAACCTTTTATAAATAGATAAACCATTGAAATAAATGTTCGTGTGGTTTCATACGGAGCAAGTGTATGTGTAACGCTTGGGCGTTGACTGTTGGGTTTTTATCCCCCCGAATGATAACGTTTTGTTCTTTCCTACTGTTTCTCTGCAGATGCTCAAGGAAATCAAAACTGTCTCCATCATTAGCATGGCAGAGCTGGGTCGCAAATTTTAAGCATGGTGCAGCCTTGCTTGTTAAGTTTTCCCTGTGGCCTTTCCCTTACAGCTTCACAGGGTCCTGTAGACATTACTGGAGGTCTAGGAAAACAGGGAAATGAAATACAGGGATTGGCATGGAGGAGGGGAGCTTTATTGTGAGCTTTGTCTGTGGATAATACTGTCACTGTGTCTAAAGTGAAACATGGATCAGCATATTTTAAGCAGGCAACTGCAGTGAGGGATTTTGGCTGCCAAAACAGTAATGTCAGGGAAGGTAAGGAATAAAACACAACTATAGAAAGGTTGGAAAATACATCTAGTTTTTGTTTACTGAATCAGAAAGATTCTCTTACTTTTGAGCTGAAAACACTGAACCAGTTTGCTGTGATGGAGATGAGTGCCCCTTGCTGCAGTGGCGCCCTGGTGCCATTACCACCTTCCATCCTTCAGCAGAAGGGGTACAAGTCCCTGTTTCTTGGACTGTACCATGCCTGGCTCCACACTCTTGCCTGGAAGCTGCTGCAGATGCACCCAGGGCAGAGCAAAAGCAGGGTGCTGCTACAGGGAGCCCAGTAGAGCTGTGGCAGTGTGTGCAGCAGGTTTGGGTACCAGCAGCCTGGGTGAGCACAGAGCTAGAGACACAGTCATCAAACCAGTCCCTGCTGTATCATCCCTTCACCATGTTTTTGTTCCCTAGAGGACATGAGCAGACTATTAAAGTTAGATACTATTAAATAGCGTACAAGAAGGGCTGAGCATCAGTTTCTTCCCACCCAGAATACACAGGAGAAAAAATGTTATACCTCATCCTAGAAGAGCCCATCAGCTCACAGCCCAGGAAAATAAACTGAATTATTTTTTCCTGAGCACAAGGAGCTGTTTTGGTTTTTTTATATATATATATGTATATTTATTTTAATATGTATTTTATTTATGTGTATATTTGTATAGATGCAACTAACCTATACTCCTTCCAGCCACTCTCGATTTCTACCTGTCATCGAAGCATTAAGCTGGGGGCACAGCTCGCTGCCCATGGCCGCGCTCCTGCAGAAGTCTGACAGGGAGCTCCTCTCCGTCCTGTGCCCCTATGGACCCCCTGCGCTGGCAGAAGGCAAACTATCCTATATGTCCCCAAAGTGTCACCTTCCCTTGGGGCCAGTCAGCGGGTGGAGCCTCGTCAGCAAATAGTGCGTGTGCAGGAATTGGCTTTTGTAGCTTCCGTGCAGCTTTTGCAATAACCTGCTGTTTTTTTCTTGTAGGTTTGGGGTTGGGTTTTTTTGATTTATTTTTATCCTAGGTGGGTACCCATCTTTGAGAAAGCCTCTTCAGCCCCTCCTGTCTTCAGGGACCGTAGTGTCCAGACCTCTGCGTGCTCCCCATCAAATAATGCTGATTTTTCTTTTTTTTTTTTTTTAAAATTAATTCTTCAACCACCCCTGAAAACCCCAAATATCAAATGGCAAAAAAAAGCGCCACGGTGTCCTGGAAGAGGAATAGGAGTCAGGAGCGGGCAGCCTGGGGTGGGCCAGGTGGCCGGCTGAGCGTCCCACTGCCCAGCATGTGCAATTTGGGTTTTTTTGGGGGGAACAGGGACTGGGTCTCCTGAGGGGACCTCTTCCTGAGCCATTAAGGCACTGAAGGGGCTCTGGAGTGATCCAGAGTTGTTGGGGATGACAGAGACTAGTGGCAGGGTTGGGAGTGTCTCCCCCTTGCCCCATCCCAGATGCTGCCCGGTCTCCCACCAAGGGAGCCAACCCCATTCCTGGACCCTGCCGCAGGGGCAGACCCCTGACCTGTCCACCCACACCCAGAGACCCCACTGCCTCGGAGGGGTCAATCAGCCCTCCCACCCCCTCCCAACCCACTGCTGAGACCCCCAGTGCCACCCCAAAGGGTGCCCCTCGGGTGGGGGTCAACCCTATTTTTTTGGGGGGGTGTGTCGTGTCTTTGGGATCACAGAGGCTCCTTCAGGGCAGCAAGGGGGGCATCCGGGAAGGATCCTCATTCCACTCATGCCCTACCCTTCTTGGAGGGGGTGAGCACTGAGGATTCACACCAGAGACAGGCACATGGTTGGTTTATATATTTATTTCTTTAGGTAGGAAAAGCACCTTATTCCGGTTGCTCATTAGCCCTGGGGCGCTGCCACCACCAGCTCCCACTGCTAACTTTCACCCATCACTCCCCATCCTAGGCAAAGCCCACCCTGTGAAGGCCTCCTCTTTGTGCTGGGGCATGCAAGAGAAGATGACTTTCCTGTTGGGGAAAAATAAAAAGGACAAAAAGAGGGAGCCGCGGTGGTTTCATTGTCCAGGGTTGCTCCCAGACCTGCTGGCCTTGCAGTTATGGCTGTCGGCACCTTCCAACGCCACACTGGCACCGCAGAGGCAGCAGAATTTCGACCCTCCCATCCACTTTTTTCTTTAAAAATGTTCCTCTTCTGGCACATGATGCTGGGGGGTGCCGGGAGGTAAGCAGCTGGGAATGGCCGAGCGGAGCCGCAGCGGTGCTGATGCTAGGGGTGAGCCGTGCCCTGAGAGGGCTTCCCACCACCGGGGCAGCCCGTGACGGCCTCACAGGCCACTGGCATCCCATATTGCCAAACAACCGTGTCTTAAATGATGTATTTATTTGGAAACCACGGGGTGAGCGGCATGTGCGCGGTGTGCAGGGTACCAGCGAGGGAGGAGCAGTGGCGCTGCTGTCTCTGCCTCCAGGGCTTGGTACCCACCATGATGCTCCTCTGCCAGGGTCTTCCCAAAAACCAAGCATGTTCCAGGGGAGGGTCCCCCCCATCCCTCCCTGATGCCAGCAGCAGGGTGTACCTCCTCGCTGCGTTTGCTCCTCCACACCACCAGCGCGGTCATCAGGAGGGTGACGAGGACGGGCAGCAGGATGAAGGGGCAGAGGATGCTGTTGGGGGGGTCATGCAGCGCCCGGCCAGAGGGGGAGCAGTTCCTGAAGTACTGCTTGTGGACGGCCACGAAGAACTCGTCCACCAGCTGGTTGGGCCAGTAGCAGTCGAGCCTCTCGGCAATCAGCGCTGTGCAGTTCGTCAGCTCCCCGTAGGTGCTGCAACACAGACAAGGGCAACAGGGTGGCACCAGGGACCGGCACTCAGCCATGAGCGCACCACATCCCCACCCCATGCAATGTATTATGTACTTTCTGTTATAGAAGTGTGTATTTGTGATTTGAGATTGTATTTGAGAGAGTTATTTGAGTTACCTGATTTTTTTTTTAGCATTTTTTTTGAGATTGTAGGTAGAGGGGTATAAAAAGATACGGGTTTTTTTAATTCCCGTCAGGTTTTGCCACTTTGATCACACTTTAAGTGCTCACCCATGACCAGAAGCACAAGGACTTTTCATTTACAGAAGTAAATTTACAGAAGTATTTACAGAAATAACTGGAAGCAAGGGTTTTTTTGTTTTGGTTGGTGGTAATTTTTTTTGCATGATTTCGTGGCCAGACAAGCGCTGTTAGAAATTACCAGTTGGACCCACATAACCCTGTGGCACCTTTAGGCAAAGACCTTCAGGAAGCCTGTCCTGGGCCACAGACGAGCTCGCCTGGCTGCTGGCCTTCAAGACACCATCCTTTTTAGCTGGCACAGGTTCAGCAAAGAGGGGACAGAAATAAGTACATCGAATCTGCTTAAAATTCTCCTTTTAACTGCCTAAAAC